TGGTACTCACTCACAATCACAGGAAGAGGAGAAGAGGCTCTTGCTTTGATTCCACGTGAAAAAGTGATGGTTATGACACGGCTTTTACTTCGTAAAAGCGGTTGTAGCGAAAAATCTGAAGTATGCACCCAAAAAAACTATATTGACTTAGTTCTTGATCTTGTCTTTTCTAGAAACCCTTGTAACGTTTCTCATATTCATCTCTTATCTTTGAAGTTCGTCACCATTCTGCTCTTGTCTTTACTACATACATACTGACAAAACATCAATAAAAGTTCCCATGCTTATTTCACAAATCTTACAACTTTGAGAAGGCAAATTGTAGTGAATTATTTGCCCTTCTGGATGCGTATGTTCCACAATATTCAGTGCCTTCATAAATGTTTACAAGTCACGTGACCACAACCAACATTGCACGGCTGGTACTGTCGACTAAAAATCCTTAAATCGTTTACAATGAACAATAACAAACTGTTACATTTACACCCGGGATAATGCAAAAGCCGATTGGTTGAATGGAATATCGTGAAGAATTATACCAATTACCAGTCGGTGATACAGAATGGTGTGTTATAATGTAATCTTGATCTTATTGTTTAATAAATTTTTAATTTGACCGAAATTTAATTGCCAATGTAAAGGAAATAAGATTACTGTTTCAAACAAAATTACGGGTCACATGGCTTGTAATCGTTTATGAAGACACTGTATATCTAAAAAACATAAACATCTTATGGAACTTAAATAAATAATTCGGCAAAAAGAAACATACAAATCTGTTATATTCAAATTTAATTGATTTTAAAGAATCCCCTACAACCCTATGTCTTTTTACCAAATTAATTTCTAAAGTTAAATGATCAGCATGGTCAGGCAGATACCATATGAACCGACTTCTCGAAGGTCTTTGACCAAAAAACATATAAAAGTATTTTAGTGATAATTTACTAATAGAATAAAACATAATGGATTTAAATTTAGCCAGCATCTTATTACTTTTGGAGTACCTCAGGGCTCTAATCTGAGCCCTCTTCTATTTTTGTTAACGATATTGCGATTTATCTTTATTAACATCTGAATCTATACTGATGACTGAAAAACCTTTGATAGTAATATGACTGTTTCAGATATCATTCAGTATTTCGTACCTTCAATACTTAAAACACTAGCCTATGTAATTAGAAAGGACCGTGAATTTTCGTTTAACGCGTTTTTATTTTGACTAATTACTGTCCAGAAGGCATTTTCGTAGCTTAAAATTTTTACATGCACTGTTATACACACATATAATAGAATCGACTGTCCTGATGTCCTAAGCACCTAAGCCAAGTAAATTTTTAACAGTTAGGTCCGTTATTCGCACCCCACTTACTTTTTATTCTTCTACTGCCAATGCTAATTTGAGATTAAAATCTACCGTTACTTTTATGATACGAAATTATAATTCTATTTGTAACTCCAACGATATATGTACTTGTATTCTGTTTTTAGAAAAGTTGGTAATCCGTGATTAATACTACTAATGTTATACGTTATGTCAATTATTCTGTATTTGTAAATTTTAGATTTTTTTAAAATTCATTTAGTAAGGGGTAGAAAACCCCTAAGACTTGCTTCATTCGTAACTTTTTTCTTATTACTACCTTACCATTTAAAAATTCATTTCAGATAGCTTAATTCATTCATTCTAAACAAAAAAGGTTCCTTGTAATTTTTTCGTAAAATTAACGATTTCTGAGCAAAAAAATTATCCGTTACTTTTCAGAAATGAGTCACAAAGGAACAATATCAAAATAAAATTTAAACATTTTCTGTCCTATCTAAAATTATTGTCTCTCTCGCTGTGACGTCAACTCGTATACATGCGCAACCGAGACATAAACAAAATACACAGAAAACGATTTGACATCATGATTCATGACAGTTTTGGTACTTTATAATTTGAGGTTAATATCACAAACCTAGTAGATCTGTGTTTTTTATTATTATATAGTGAGTGTGGCAGTGATAACTGATAAGTATATTGTAATTTTTCATACTCTCCATGTTAATTAAAATTATAATAAGCAAAAGTAACACACAAAAACACAACCGGTCACAAGCACAACTAACAGTAAATGGTAAATGACAGTTCCAGCAATGTCAGAATAGCCAACTTAACTTGTTATACCAACTTAAATTTAAAGCGTAATGCGCATGCGACATAGTTCACGTCACAACGCCCATCATACCGTGTAATTGATTTTAAATAATTGTTTTGCTCAGAAATCGTTAATTTTACGAAAAAACTACATGAGACCTTTTTTATTTAGAGTGAATCAGTTTATAGGAAATGATTTATAGTGTAAGATATTAATAAGAAATTACTTATGACACAAGTCTTAGGGGTGGTTTTTCTACTCCCTACAACTGTTGGAGAAAATCAACAATTTGTTTACTGAGTGCCTTCGCGACAGCAGAAAACGTCTACTTAATTTTATTTCTGTCACATTTTTGGTATTTCAGAAAAAAAATTTAAAAACTACTTTTTTGACAATGTCTTTAAGCGATTGTATCTTCACAGGAGGTGTTCAAATGAGATTTTTTTATATAAAAGACCCACCTTATTTTTTCGACAGGGAATCCCCAATCAATTTACTCGCACTAAATTATTTACACCCTGTATATTTATCTTTTTTTATAGTTTTTCATACTTTTGATTGAACTGTAAGCTTTGTCCTGTAATTAGTTTTTCCCTGTTGGACAAATAATTTATATAAATAAATTAATAAATTAATAAATATGTATATATCGCTAAACTGCAATTTTTAAAAAGGTTTTGTAGGCCGTGGGGTTGGTTAATAAAAATCGGCGGCGCAAATGTAGCTCACACGCCTTATAACTTTTACAAACTCAATTGTTCGTCGATTAAAAATTATGTCTGTGCTCCGTAGGCCGCTGATTTTCTCCTTGATCTCGTTTAGTGTGGGTAAAACGCATTTCAGAGCAGAACGCTCGTTTATCATTTTTTTTTATCTAGAATAAACGTATTTACAATCAAATTGCATGCATTAAACTGCACGTTTGCAAGAGGTTTGAGAGTGAAATGCGTGAATAATTTTAATTGAAACGAAAAAAAATCATAAAAACTATTACCAAAAACGCTTGCGAAGCTGCTTAAAATTTATTATTCGAATGTCAAACATTTAATAAATTTACGACGGTTTATTTATACAGGCTGTTTCAGAAAGACCTCCCGTAAATACAGGGGGTGATAGTATGTCAAAAAATAAGAATTTTTTGTCTTATGAACTATTTGTCTATCTCATCTCGTTTTCGAGATACAGAGCGACAAAATAAAATTTTTAAAGTAGAATTTTTATTAAAATTTCCAAGCGGTGCGAAATATTTTTATAAAATTTGGTATTACGGGGCTTTAAAGGAAGCCAAATATGCTGGTCTAATTATTTTTTGGATATTTCATAGAGGGTGTTAGTTGTGCTACATTCCTATTACATTTTAAGTTCTAATTTTTTTAAGGTTAGGTTTTTTACCATTCCGGCTCCAATTTCTAATGTACAATTTTGTTTTCTAAAAATAATGTACTCTTATTAGAACTTCCTAATGTGGACAGTTTTCGAGAAAAAAAACTTTTAATTAAACTCTTACAATATTACGGTGTATAAAATAAGTGACTTTTCTCAAAGTAGGCTTATGTCACAACTTATTGATGAATATCTCATAAACAACGCATACATTCTTAGTAATATTTTTAACTCTAATTAACCTTATCTCAAAATTTTAGTGATTATTAGTGACTGTAGTTAGTAATGACTAATTACAGTCACTAAAATTTTGATACAAAGTTAATTAGAGTTTAAAATATTACTAAAAACGTATGCGTTGTTTATGAGACATCCATCAATAAGTTTTGACATAATCCTACTTTGGAAAAGTCACTTATTTTATAATAATATATATAATATATAATAATTTATAAGAGTACATTATTTTTAGAAAATAAAATTGTATATTAGAAATTGGAGCCCGAATGGTAAAAAACTTAACCTTAAAAAAATAGAACTTAAAATGTAATAGGAACGTAGCATAACTAGCGCCCTCTATGAAATATCCAAAAAATAATTAGACCAGCGTATTTGCCATCCTTAAAACCCCCGGAATACTAAATTTCATAAAAATATTTCGCACCGCTTGGAAATTTTAGTAAAAATTCTATTTAAAAAAATTTATTTTGTTGGTCTGTATCTCGAAAACAAGAGGAGATAGACATATAGTTCGTAAGACAATAAAACCTTATTTTTTGTCGTACTATCACCCCCTCTATTTACGAGAGGTCTTTCTGAAACAACCTGTATGTTAAGGTCAGAAATTGTGATCTAAAGTCCAATTTTCTTTCGTACATTTCTGTTTGAATGAGAATTCGATGAGTGGGCCATGAGATGACGTTTAATTAAAAATTGAAACGCGATAAATAATAAAAATCATGCGAAGTCGACGATGGAATTTCCAAAAAACAATAAAACGTCTATTTGTAATGTTCCTTTTGTATCACAGCCTGCTTATCACAACCTGTGACACGACTTGTACAAAAATTTGATTTATAGGTACCCTCCATATCTGCCTTTCCTTTACTGTTTTTCCTGAATATTAAAAATGTTAATCAGTTCAAATATTGTGATGATAACATTAAGAAAAGTAGTAGACATGTACATTGTACAGCTAAAAACGATATAAACAACTCGTAAAATAACAATTATTCTTAAAGTACGTCATTAAATGATATTTTTTCGCAGCATTACAATATAAAATCAATTAGGCCCATTTTTTATGTTACAATAAACAATTGCTGGTTCAAAAGTCTGAGGTAAATACTTTATATATTGCATGTCATGTTTATACGAATATTTTAAAAACGAGCAATTGGTGTCAGCTCTGAAAATCCGACTGGCTATAACTTTTAATGGATTATTGCCAAGTTTTATATTTTATTCAAAACTTACCCAGCCAAGACGTTTCTTCTGTCGTGACGTGCATCTTAGTGGACGCCTGTAGCTGTGGAATCAAGATGGCGCTGTATCCTTGGCATATCCCTATGGATATTGACACTGAATGGGCACAAAACGCTGCCAGGGCCTGAAAAATAACAACCTGTTATTACACTATCTTCATAAAGCACCAGTACGAATTTGTTTGGAAATTTAAGGCGTAGCACCCTGTACAATGTTATTTGTGGTGCATTCTTGCACAATTCCGATATACTTTGCTAGAAAGACAGGATATCTAGATCGAATTTCATGCTTCAGTTTACCTACATCATAGGCGCATAAGTTATACATATGTTTCAAAATAATTTTTTCGCTAAATTAAACATTGATAAGTATTTATGAATATGGCAAAATATTAATGGATCAAGGTCTGATCCCTGAGGTACACAACTAGAACTATGGATGAACAAATGAAGACTTATCATCAGATCTAACTTACCAACTGAAATGGGCAGATACAATCGCGCCACACCATATCGCACCTACTACTAACGATTTATGTTTAGTTCTGACAACTACCAAGAGCTTTCTTTAGTCACCATAGGAAGAGGAAGTCAATAATTTTTTAGAGCGAATAACAATAATAACCAAAGGCAAATCCGGTCCAACCAAAAAAAATGAAACCGCACGTGCTTGTCAAATGATATCAACATACAGTAATCATTTTTATTAAATAATTAACTTCGGAAATGTTTTTTTTTCATTGTTCTTAATTGCTTCAATGTTTATTACGGAAGAAAAAGTACTATTACTACTACAATGGTATGTATAATTTAACACGCAGAGATAAGAAAGTGATCAACCTCTATTGTACATATTACCAATAGATCAAAAATCAAGGCTGTCGTAATACTTGGGTTTCTTTTGTCTATTCTAAAATGTACAAAGATTGAAAATTAGATATAATCGAGACGTATAATACATCAGGAGAAATAATGACACTACAAAAAGAATTAGAATTTAGTTAAAGCATGGCAATTATTTCAAAAAACTACTCGAAAAGTATTCGCGGAATTTTATTTAAAAAACTCAAGTGTGAGTGTTACAGACGCAACGTTCAATTGTTTCTCTATGAACGAGGTCTAGTATACCACCAGTGCCATCATTTAAAAGACAGTCCGTAGATATACTCTGACGTGTTTTCGACTCGCAATTCTCATTAATTAATTTGTTATTAACATTTTAGTGTAAAAAACGAGTTTTCTTTAGTTTTTTGCTTATAAAACCAAAACTACTAGAGCAATCTCAATTCCGTAAATGAAAAAGTTGTAGCAAATTAAATTTCGAAGAAAATTAGATGTCGAGCGATTCGATCGATTGATTAGAACCGGAGAAAATCCGGAAAAACCGGAAAATTCGGCATTTTTTTCAAAAATTCGTAACTTTGTCATTTATGAAGATTAAGAGCTGAAATTTAGCACAGAAGTAGATAATTACATCAACTTTAAGTGTGCAAAAGGCAGGCGCAGTCAGACCATTAGTTTTTGCGCAATTGCAATTTCAAATTTTGTATGCATTTTTTTACCGGGACTTTGCTTGCATTAAAAATTGTCCGGTTGAATATGTTTAATTGTTTTGATACACTGTGGACACTTCATAATTTACATGTGTGGGATTATGAGAATCCTAAAGAAACATGACAATAATGACGGTACCTGATAGCCACAGTAATCAACATCTTGTTTGCATCGCCTACTGAACTCAAAGTTTTAAATTCGCAAATCGAATCGTACAGACCTGCAAATAATGCCATTTTTCTCAAGAACGGCTTTCTGTAGGCGATTTTCTCAAGAGACAACATTTTTTTAAAATAAAACGTCCTTTTCAATGTTGTCCGTTTAAAAAAATACTACCATTGTAAATGTTTTGGCCGCTAAAAGGGAGAGGTAACCGTAGAAAACTAACATCCAGTATATCGATTTGACTAAAGCTTTAAGAAATAATATGCCATAATGGTCCAAATAAATGTGCCAAATTTTAACGCAATCGGTAATAGGATTATGAAATTATTAATTAATTAAATTAGTTTTTATTTTTGACAACTAAAGGTCTGTAACTCAAAAACCAAAAAGTTTTTATTTACTCTTTTTTCGTAGATCGTATTTATTTATCGCCGTGAATATGCAGTCAAACGTTGTCGGTGAAATAGAAACTCACCCATGGGTAGTATCTCACAGATCTTCTTTATTTTTTTTTATAATGAATTTAGGCTTCATTCTGATATTGAATTAGAAAAAAATCAGAAATTTTATAAGATGAGATAGTTTAGTTCATTACTATGACAGTTTCCCTCACACAAACGAAGTAAACATAAGATTAAAAAATATAAGAGACAAATGGTTTGAAGTTTCACAAAGAATTTGTTTTCTCATAAAAAATAGAAAAGTTTTCCCTTTCGAGATACAATCTTGGATCTCACTGTGTATGTACCATCGTGGCTATACTGGGTTTTGTTTGTATTTTGTATTTTTTATATTATTTTTACATAAATATAATGTTTAGTTATAAAGTTGTTAAAGACTGGTTTAATATATTTTCATATAAAACTCAGATTTTTCCAAAAAAATTGGGAATAGATGCGGTGTGAGAAATGGAGTCAATATTGTAAAAATAATTTTGTAAAATCCTTACAGTTTCCGAGAAAAAAATTATTGAAGTTGTAGTACATTCAACCAATACATTGCTGGACAACTGTAGTCTCTTGCGTCATTCGAAATACGCGTGGAGAGCCACGTGGCCTGAGCGACTCCGAATACTGAAATCCGATTTTAAAATCGTCATCGTTACGACAGTGTTTACTGTGGTGGTATTTACAATAGTTTTTTAGTAGTTAATGTCAAAAATGGCTTGAGTGGATAGCAATGTCAAGTTGACGGATATCGTTTTAATTTATGGTAAAGCAAGTCATTTGTATTATGGTGAAGCATTTGTGTTATGGTGAACCCAACAACATTTGTGTTTACACGTCGGTGGATAAAATTTTGAACAGTTGTAACATTAGGTATGTCAAATTATTTTATTATTTAAACCCACAAAATAATTTTATTATTAAGGTTAAATTAATAACGACAATAACGGCAAAAGCAGTTGAATTTGGTGATATAAAATAGGTGCTATAAAATTATATTTATTTCTTTCCTTGCGAGTTTTTGACCTTTTTTATCACACTTTGCCGCCATGCCGGTCGCAGTGTATGAGGTCAGGTTTTACAGTGGACAGTTTTTTAAATCATTTTCGAACTGCCACTTTTTAATTTTTTCTTTACAAAATTATATTTGTAAGTCCTCTGTAGGTCCAAAATTTTTTCTTGATAAGTTCTGAATCACCGTGTATAAATTTGTCTTTATAAATCAGTGAAGTTTTAAAATTTAAAAATCATTTTCTCGAAACTATATTTATATTAGTTTCTTTTTTATATTCAATTAATTCCGTAAATTTTTCCTCTCTATTTAGTGAACGATAATAGTACGTGTAAATAATTAACCAAAATAACTGATTTGGGGAACACATAAACCACAATATTTACGCATACCGGTATTATTATTTGCATGCGTTAAATATTTGTGCCACAATTAAAGTAATAGAAACGATAACAAGTTTAAAGAGGAAAAGCAAACACTATTGTCTGAAAAATGGGAATTTTGCGGTTTCGAATAATATTTAAACAGCTTGTTTGGCTTCCTTACTGGAAGACAACACGTGTGAAGTTTACAGACTTAATATAGGGCGTCCATACGCCTGTCTGGAAAGACCCCAAACAGATCACTATTTCTACATCTTTATTACTCTTTACCGTTCACGACGTGATAATCATTTAGCTTTCCGCTCGAGTAGGCTTACTTTCTCCCGCGCTAATAGCAGCGCCAACTGGACAGCTATATCCCACAGCCGGCTGAGCTCCCTCTCGTTCGAAGGCTAGATAAAACAGTTGACCGACGTTGCGTCGGCACAGCCAGCCTTGATCTTGACCGCATCATCTCGATTTGAGACGCGAAGCCACCGATTGTTTCCTTCCTATTTTACAGAAGTGTGACTCAGGGGATCAAATTGGATGATTGGTGGTGACTAACGGATAATGGTGGTTCCAAAGATGCACAGTGAGGAGCAATTGAGGGCAGAAACGTTAAATTCTAGGGTTTCGAAAAGAGAATAGTTGTTTTCTGTTCTAGGCCGCGAAGCGTCCCTTTTGTATTCAAGAATGGGGGGTTTTGTGGTGAGCAACATCCGAAAATGCAAAAACAACTATGAATCAAAGAATATTTTTTGGAAACATTCTTTAAATTGACGAAAAATATTTTCAGGAACTGCGTCAAGAGTATAGACAAACGCTCAGACCCGTCGATTTTAGATTAAAGGGGGACATTCTTTGCTGGTATATTTGACTCCACTACTTTCACCCCCAAGCAAGGGTAACCATCACCCCAAAATATTTAATTGGCATTGGGGGTTGAGTAATATTTCTTTTGAAAGCTCTTACAATTCTCTTTACAACAGACTTTAAATTTTATAATTCCGCCCAATACTTATTAAGAATTTTGATTTTAAAGTTGAAACTTATGTACAAACAATTAGTAACAGTAAAAATGTCAGTCATTCGAGTTAAGTACGCCAATGGTATAAATTTAGTATTTCTTGCGTTACATTGGTTTTTGGCGATTTGTTATCACTTTCGTAAAAAAA